TTTAACAAATAAACAGGAACTGCAGCAGGAGAGATTGAAGGCCTTATAAATCCCTGTTTCAGATTTTTATTGAGGAAACCACAATAAAGGGTGCCTCAGTTTCTGGTTCATATCGGGAATGTAGTAACCCTGCTAGGATATGGGCACCAAGGACCAAATCTATGGCATACTCATACAGTCTGTGTGGGGGCACATTGTCTGCTTCTGCTTGCCCCAAAACATGCTCAAATTCCACATATTTATCTGGCAATGTCATGGGTTCCTCCACTCAACTAGATTTGTTGAATTGTTCCCAACAAAGGGCTGGCTGCTGGTGGCTGCTCTTAAATAGACCAGATGCAAGTGTGGCTCAGTTACAGGCATTGGCAGCTTTGCTTCTCAAGGAACTGAGCAATACTAGATGCTCTGCCAGGATCTAGTCCTCATTACCTGAGTTGTAAATGCACATATGCCACTGATTGAGTGATTATGGAGCAGGATATAAAATTCCTCTGGAGTTATATAGCTATTTTAAAAAGCCTTCTGGATGAGCTCCATTTTAAATTCCTTTTGGAAGATAGGGTTAGGCAAGTCAAACTTCTGGGAAGGGCTGTTCCACAGCACAAGAGATAAGACAGAAAAATATCTCCTCTTGGCCTCAGTCTGCCTGATTTCACAGTGGTGGGGAATTTTATTATGATGTTCATATCAGACAGGTCAATTGTAATTGAATGAGACAGTCCTTGAAGATACTTTGGAACCAAGTTACATAGAATTTTATAAATTAAAACTAGCAGTTTATATGGTACCTGAAACCCTATTGGTACACAGGGCCTGCAGCACAAATGTAATATGTTCATAGCATCTTGTGCCAGTTAGCATACGAGCTATTGCATTTTGTACCAACTGCAATTTCCAAGTGGTTTTTAAAGGCAGACCATATAGAGCACCTTGCGGTCAGTCAGTGATGACAGCATGAATGACTGTTGTGAGATCCTCTTGTTCTGGGTAGGGCTATAACTGGTGCTCCAGCCAAGCCTCAATAAAGGTCCTTCTGCCCATGGCCTTCTCCTGTCCATCTAGCAGTAACTATGAGTCGAGGAGGACACCCCTCCCCCCTAGTCACTGACCTGCTCTTCTGGGCATGCCAAACCCTCAAGAAACAGTATCAGAGCCAGCAGAGTATCTTGATGGACAAACAACTCTGTCTTGCCTGGATTCAATTTCAGCCTCTTTCTTCCCGTACAGAATTCACTCGTCTCCAGATAACAGGATAAGACTTCAACTGCCTAGTCTTGATGTCTAAACACACAAGAGAACTCCTTGAGGGGATGATTCTTTCCCTTAAGGGTACAAGGAAGTTTTGAAAAGACAGAGGTATCCACATGCCTTTAAACACCAGGCTTTCTTGGTTCCCCCATCTCGTAAGTGTATCCCTCTTTGCACTGAATCCTAGTTGGTACAGGACGACACTCACCCTTGCAACTCTCTGTGTCAACATGGATGAGGGGAAAATTGTCAACTGTGCATTGGACAGTAAGTTACTGTGTGCATACATTTATGTACCTCACTTAGAATTTAGAGATTTAGGAGCTAAATCCTAAAGATTGACATCAACACCTAATATTTCATATTTTAAAATTGCAAATTTGAAAGATAGATCTTGATTCTTTTTTTATTCATCCACATACCTCTGTCTTTTTCATGGCTGTCAACTTGAAACTTCAGGTATAATAACCTTACACATGTATATTTAGAAAAAAAGTAGTTAAGGCACCAAGCTAGAAACCAGGAGATTGTGAGTTCTAGTCCCGCCTTAGGCATGAAAAACCGGCTGGGTGACTTTGGGCCAGTCACTCCCTCTCAGCCCACAACATCCGGTTCAGGCGACAAGCCAGTCAGTAAATTCCTGTCACAACCAATGGATCAACATAGGATTGATTAAAAAAAAAAAAATGGACCGTGCATCTACAGGAAAAACACTAGGAACGTATATTCAGAAGAAAGAGTTGTTGAGATGAATGGATCACACTTCCAGTCAAATATGTACATGATGCTTAGAAAGTCTTATGTGCATAAGTACTGTAAATATGCATAGATTTACAACTGAACTCCTTCCTTTGTAGCCTTCTGGTGGCTAGGTAGCCCTTTACTTCACAACCCTTCCCAATTTTCTTAAAATGACCCCCCAGCACTCAGTAAACTGGATAACAATGCACTGCCCTTTCACCCGCAAAACTAGGTATAACAATCATCCATTTCATAAGGCAAGCATAACTCCCAAGAGCTAATTAGAAAAAGGATGAAAAAGCATATTGATCCCAAAAAATGTATTATCCTGACATTCTGGATTTCTTAGGATTTTTAAAGGACAGTAATAATTGTTCTAGAAAGATAAACCAAAAATAAGGTTTAAAGAGAGAAATTCTCTTTTGCAGAAAGATAGTACTCTGCACTTAGCTTTAATACCAGGAGTAGTAATTAAAAGTGAGGAAAACATTTGGAATCTGAAACATTTTAAACTCAAAACTGTTGTTTCAAGTTCAAGACTACTTGTATTGACATTGCCAGAATATCCTGACCATTCTGGAAGTGTTTTGAGCTCAAAACAGTCATGTTTCAGAACAAAGGTTTTGAGCTTGACTGTTTCAAGCTTGTTACACTGGAATAGAGCTTCAGGTATATTTCCAAAAGACTTGTGATAGGTCTTTGCAACTGAAAACATTTTTAAACATTTTGCAGACCATTATTAGAAAGTTTTTTATTCCCTGGGTATACCCCCCGCCCCAAATATGCCTGCAGTGTTGCAAAATTAATACTTTTCACAATTTGTAGATGATCCTCTCCTTGCGATAGCTTTCAATACATGTAGAAACACTAAATTCTCATAAGAATGTTTGAGATTTGGCAATCTCTAGAAATTTGGGGCATTATTTTTTATTTTAATTCCAATTTAATGTTCGGAAGTGACATTTTGTGAGGTGATGGACACTTGTTGCCCAGACGTGCCACGTTGTTGATCCCTTTTCTAAAGCTACCACTGCAGTCTGAAACTGACAGTTACATCCAACACTTTATTAATATTAATAAAACACATTGACAGAATTCACTTAAAGTTTTTTTTAAAAGGCCCACCAAATAAAAATGTGTTGCATAACTTAAAACAATTTGTAGCACTATCTCTAATTCTCAAACACTGTGGAATTCAAACATGTGATTTTATACCGTAACTACAGTTTTGGCATCTTTTCTTCTGGCCAAGATCCTGGAAAAACAAATGAGAATTTAATGGAATTCTCCAGATTAGAGATGGTAAGATCTAGGAAAAAAGTGGGTCTTGTCTGCCCACCCCTCATTTTTTGTTTATTCACATTCTGGGAAATTGGGAAAAATAAAACAATTTTGGATTACAAACTTTTTTAGAAAGATGAACACAATGTTTAAAATAATATGTATTACAATCCTGTATTCCCTCAAAATGATCTCTTGAAACCATGCAACAGAAAAATATTTCTCCACAAGGTGGCTTCAGTTCCTCAGGTGAAGACAATCAGGACTTGTAAAAATAAGATGTATTTCTGCCTTCAAGAAGAGAAACTTAATGTGTCTTTTTTACTTGTGCTGTCCCTGGTAGTTGTTTAGAGCATAGTGGATCTGTTCCTGTTCTCTTGCTAGTTTGACTAGGTCTCAAAAGACTGACTGCAGTAGAAAGGATAGAAATCCATTCCTGAAGAGAATGGCTTAGGAATTGTCCTTGAGAGCCAGTTTGGTGTAGTGGTTAAGGCAGCAGGTTTGAAACTGGGAGACCATGAGTTCAAATCCTGATTTAGGCATGAGATCAGCTGGGTGACTTTGGGCCAGTCACTCTCTCTCAGCCCTAGGAAGAAAGCAAAGGCGAACCACTTCTGAAAATCTTGCTGCGGGGCTTTGTTCAGTTAGCGGACAGGATTCAAGACTGATTCAAAGGCACAAAAAAACTAAACAAACAAAATCTGATTGCCCTACGTGCTCTGGAAGACACAGAAAAAAGTCCACAGATTTTCAAGTTGAAGGAGCTCCCTTCTCAGGACCTGTAAGATGTCCTTTGAGATTGACTAAAACAATACCAAGGAACTGAAAGGACATATATTTCTTTACTAAATGGTATGAATTCTTAACTCACTATATTGATCTATATTGCTACATTAGTATATTTTCTTCACTATATAAATTATAATTGAATTCTTATTAATCCAGTGATGACAAAATCACTCATTTAATGACCCTGAAATATCATAGCATCTTTAAATCTATAAAAGAAAGAGTGCTTTAGAAAAGTATTTTAAATTTTACTGAACTTTCTGGATTTGGTGGGGGGGAGAGAGAGTTGGGGGAAGGTTCCTAGCTGCAAAACGTTCAGAAATTTTGCATCTCTACTCTTGACTATTATCTTTCCATTCCAAATCAGGCCTTTAACCATTCTTGTCATATATAGAACTCCACCAAATGTATGAATCTGTGTTTAGTTTAAAGCACATTTATCCTGTCATTCATTCTTATCAGTTAATTCTGAGCCAGCACAAGGGCAATATCCTTCATCTGGAAAGTGCACTGGCAATGAATATGTAGCAAATGTTCACATTATCATCACTTACCTTTGGTTATACTTTCAAATAGATTTTAGAACTTTTAAAATGTTATTTTAACATATCCATGGGCATTTAATAAGCCTTTAGGAATTAAAATTGTACTTTTTCCTCTTCCCTCTCACCCCTTGTTCTGTTTCATATCGTTTAGATTGTAAGCCTAACAGCAGGGACTGTACACTATTTTCAATACAAATACATAATAAAAATATTTTAAGTAAAGAAAAGCAGTGGTGCTGTTTGATTTGGTCCAAGCGTAAGAAACCCAGTACATATGGCTTGTAATGCTACTTGGAGGTAAAAGATTGCTAGTATTTATACAGTGAGATAGTGTATGTAAGCCTTTTTCAAGTCCTCTGGTATTCATTCTTTTTTTTCTCTTTCTCTCTTCTTTAGGAAATAATAAAGTTATTGCCCTTCCATAGGATATTCCTGGACAGACTGGAAGAAAATGAAGCTATAGATCAAGATCTCCAAGCCTATATACTACACCGAATACACAGCAGCTCAGAGATACAAAATAACATCTCTCTTAATGGCAAAATGGACAATACAACCTTTGGCAAACTCAGTTCTCATCTCAAAACCCTGAGTCAAGGATCCTACCTATACCTTAAGCTCACATTTGATCTTATTGAGAAGGGCTATTTGGTGTTAAAAAGCTCCAGTTATAAGGTAGTGCCTGTCTCCCTTTCAGAAGTATATCTACTGCAGTGCAATATGAAGTTCCCAACACAGTCTTCCTTTGACCGGGTAATGCCTCTTTTGAATGTGGCAGTGGCATCTCTACATCCTTTGACAGATGAGCATATTTTTCAGGCTATCAATGCTGGGAGCATTGAGGGTAGCTTAGAATGGGAGGACTTTCAGCAAAGAATGGAAAATCTTTCTATGTTTCTTATCAAACGCAGAGATATGACCCGGATGTTTGTCCATCCTTCGTTTCGAGAGTGGTTGATTTGGAGAGAAGAAGGAGAAAAGATCAAGTTCCTCTGTGATCCTAGGTAAGTATTTAATGTAATTCTGCAATCAGAGAAAGCACTTTAAAAAAAATGAATGCAATTCTGAGTTGCAATTTATAAAAGTACACTCATTGAAAGCTAACATTATTTTCTATAGATGTGTCAAATCATATCAACTTTGTAAAGGGAAATTTGTCTTCCTCATTTTTTATTTATCATGACACAGTATTAGATCCCAAACAGTTTTGAGTCTTTTACTGGACCACTTGGGCCAATACGGCAAGATTTCCTCTGTGAAGAGTAATTTTGAAGGACAAACTTGATTCCCTCATAAAGTGTAGGTCTATTTGAAAAAGAAGAGATCAGTCACTGAAAGAGTTGCTTGACTTTATGTATGGAGTCAGTTTCTTGGGCTGTGAAGAGGTGAAAGATGGGCTGTGACAACATCTGCTTGCTTCTGGTGAGACTTGAAGGGACTTTTCTTTGGGCTTTTGGAGAAAGACATCAAAGCCAAACTAGATCAATCAGTTTGTTTTAATGTGAATCTGCTCAATCAAATATAAAGATGGTATTTTTAAGAAAACTGCAATTTTAAATAAGGAAATATAGAGAAAACAATATACAAAAATAGTAATAGCCAACAAATTGATTAATTATGAAATTGAAATATCATAAATATAGATGATAAAGTAAATGCCAAATGATAGTGTTGAAAATCTGGTAAAGAAACCTCCATCATCAATAGATAGTCTCAACTTTACCAGTGAAATCCTTGGTGGCCTGTCTTGCCATATAAGTTTCTATAGGAGATTATCAATCTGAATGAAATAGCTATTTGGAATTAATATTGGGGTATCTCTTAAAATACACATAATTTGAGGAGTAATATTCATTTTAATAATATTAGTCTTACCCCACCAGCTTAATGGAATTTTAGTCCATCTGTTAACATCTATAGAAATCTTACAACATTTGACATATTCATTTCTACATATATGGAAATATTTTATAATCCTAAATGTTTAATATATTCTGTGCATATGATAAAACTCAATATCTTACATTAATCAATTAATATGTCAGATTCTAAAGGATTTAAATTAGATTTTACCCAATCATATAACCTGAATATTTTCCAAATTATTGAACCATCCATATCGTTAGGCAGTGATGTGGAATAATTATTCAGAATTACTAGGATTTCATCAGCATATAAAAATAATTTGCCATTGTAATTCCAATGGTATAAACAGGATTGCCTAACAATGATTGCCAATTATTCAAGTATTAAACTAAATAGCAATGTAGAAAGTGGACAACCTTGATGGGTGCCCTGCTGTAACTAAACTGGTCCAGAAATTAAATGATAAATAATTTCTTCTTATTCTTGCAAATTAAAAATTACAATCCATTTAATAAAAGAAAACAGAAAATAATACCTTACTTTAGGAAATCAATCTGAACCATTTCAAAAACATTTTCAACTTCCAAAGTTATTAATATAGCAGAATCCAATCTATCTTGAGCTATATCTCAAATATCTATTACTAAACATGAATTATCTGATGCTCAAAAATATCAAAAATATTCTGTTTTTTATCAATCCACACTGAGATGGGTGAATTATACATTTTAAGTATCTCTGCAATCACCGAACCAACAAAGTGGTAATATCTTAGTATCTACATTAATTAATGAAATGGGTCTATAACTTGCACAAGATTTAGGATGTTTGCCTGATTTTAAAATTAATATTACAGTATATAAACCTAATAATAAATAAAGACAAGTTGTCAGATTTAAATGATTCATTACAAATCTCCAACAATATTGGAGCCAATAAATCTATAAGAAATTTATACAATTCAGCTGGAAAACCATCCAAACAGGAGGCTTTCCTATTTTTCATCAACTGAATTCTGTCTAATATCTTCTGTAATTTTAAAGGTGTTTCCATGATATCCACACAGTCCTGTGATAATGGTTAAATGTCAATCTCACTCAAAAAATTACCCATTTGCTGTTCATCCACCAGTCACTAAGTATGTACAAATGCTTTAAACTTGAAAGAAATGTAAATTAATGGATTTAATATCTGTGAGTCTCAATCCCTCTTTTCTTAATATTCCAAAAATTATATTTGTTGTTTATTTTTAAACAATGTGCTAATAATTTACCTGCTTTTTCATCAGATTCCCAATAATCTCTTCCAAGAGAATGCAACTTCATCAGCATAGAAATTCTCCAGCTGTAACTTAGCTAATATAAATGCAGTATAAGTCTCTGTGAGATTCCTTGCATATGCCAATAAACATTATTTAACCAGATTTCCCATAAGTTTATACGATTTCTGATTTTTTTGCATGAGGCATCAGTAATAACATACCCACATATAAAAACCTTATATGCATCCTATACAACTTGTAAACTAGTAGAATCCATCCATTTTGATGGAGATTTTAAAAAAATGTGTTTGCTGTTTAATATAATCAGAAAAATTATCATCTGTATCAAAGAGGTGTTAAAATACCGTCTATCATTAACTAACACACACTCTTTAAGATGAACTGTTAATATAATTGAAGCATTATATGAAATCATCATAACAGGATTAATTTTTGAATAAGAAACTTTATCAAGTAAAGAACACATTGTTAAAAAATCCAATCTAAAATAGGTCCTGTGAGCATACGAAATAAAAGCATATCTTTTTATAGCATGATATACCCTCATATCCTTCAAGTTAAATTCTTGAATTTATCCTTCAAGTTAAATTCTTAAATTTCTTTATAATCAAAATTCAATTTTGATTATAAATACATTTTTTTTGGAAGAGAATATCTATCTAACTGAAAGTTCATAATATGATTTAGGTCTCCACCAAGAATTAAATTATCAAAAAATGTAGTAAATAATTATGAAAATCATTTATGAAAGGCTTCTGGATTATTTTTTGTAGGGCCATAAAAGTTTACAATATCAATATGATTTCATATTGCTAGGGTAATATGAAAAACAGATATCTTCAAACAAAGAATAATAAGTATCATTCATTATCTAAATACACTTGAACCATAACATCACATTTTTACCATTTTTTCAGTCATTTGGGATAGTTGGGGAAAGTGACAGAACTCCTGTAAATTAAAAAGAAAGTTCATCTCAACATCCCAGCAGTGAAGTTTAGGCTGTGTTATGTGGGTTGGTGAAATAAACATGAGAGTGGGGGCAGTTTGCTTCCTGGAGGCTACCTACTCCTTTCTCATCATTAACTCTTCAATATACCCCTGAGAAAGAGAAAGCCAGTTTGGTGTAGGGGTTAAGGAACCAGGCTAGAAACCAGGAGACCATGAATTGCAGTCCTGCCTTAGGCATGAAACCAGCTGGGTGACTTTAGGTCAGTCACTCTCTTTCAGTCTTAGGAAGAAGACAATGGCAAGCCACTTCCAAACATGCTGCCAAGGAACCTGCGGGGAGTTGTCCAGGCAGTTGCCAGGAGTTAATGCTGACTTGAAGGCGTGCGCATACACATGCCCTCCCCCCCCCACACACAGAAGTACCACTGAAGTATAACCACTCAAAAGAAATATAAATCCATATATATTTCTCATTAGTAGTAAGTTCTAATCACCTCCATTAGGCTTTTGATTATGGATTTAAATATGAAGTACATATGCATAAATCATTATTTTACTCAACAAGAATTCAAAGAAAATTAACAGGCATAGGGCACTGATTCCAACCAGACTATAGTGGAGATAGGAGATTATTTCATCACATACTTTCCCTACATGATGATAAAAATCACATCCCCAAGCTGATACTGATAAATGTATTTATCATGTTATAAATTTGACTCTTAGCCTGTGTGTTAGTGTTTTTATTGAATCTAAAGCAAGAAGATTCTTTCATGAAACTCAGTAGAATAGTGTTTGATATTATTCAGTTAAGTTGAATTCAATTTCTCTAGCAGTATTTTACTTATAAATAAATTGTGTAACTGAAATCAACACTTCAGTGGTCTGGCTGTTAAATGTCATAAGAGTTTTGACTTCCTTTTCCCATTGTTCTCTCTCTCTTTCTCTCTCTCATTATTTTTATTCAGGAGCGGTCATACTTTGCTTGCCTTTTGGTTTTCTCGTCAAGAGGGAAAACTCAACAGGCAGCAGACTATTGAATTGGGCCATCATATTCTCAAAGCACACATCTTCAAGGTAGGCAGAAAAAATATGACATCTTTTTGTTGGATTCTGTATACTGGTGTGTGTTGCTATTTTAATAAAGCATAAAGAATGCTTACCTTCTGAGATACATACTAGCATTGTACCTTAGTCAGCAGTTATGCTGGGGAGGGTCAAGTCTCCATTTTCAGATAGCTTACTGTCAAAATAATATTGGCAGGAAAGGGAAAACTTACAATGTCCCTGCATGCTTTTTCTACTGTTATCAGACACAGCAAAGAATAACTCTGAATCTTTTATTGATCCAATTTCATTAATTAATCCATCTTTCTCTTCCGATATCTAGAAGATGGAACAGTTAGATAGATACGCTACAGGGACAGGATGAATTATTGTTGTCTCACCTCTCTCTTGTGAATCTGGTGAGCAAGAGAAGGAACTTGAAAAGGATCTGGGTTTGACCTGGGAACCACCAATTGGAGATTCTCTTCTAAAACTGTCTTATAATTGATAAATCCACATTAAAGGATTCCTTCCACAGTTGAAATATAGTCTGTAGATCAGAAATTATTTTTTCAAAGGCTTTTAGTAAAGCCCAGCAGCTTTAAAAACTTAAGCGTTAAACGTTTTGTAAAAATGTGTTTAGGAATCCTTATTTCTGTGTGAGATGATCCAACACTAAACAATCACACCAGGCTGATTATGTTCCTATCTGATTCAGGATTAGAGAAGTAGGAGGAAAGATTACCAAGTGACAGTAAAAATGATCACTTATGGCTTTTCCTTCACTGGGCATAAAATTTAAAACATTCTGTCCTGTGCAGTAATCTTGCATTGTCTTAAGAAAATTATTTACTTTTAACTTTGAAATTGCTAATAAATTTAAGATTAAATTGTCCATGGGGTTTAACAACAAATGAAAATAAATACTTAGAATTTTATAATGTTTATCTTTTTCAGGGTCTGAGTAAAAAAGTTGGGGTTTCTTCCTCAATTCTTCAAGGGCTTTGGATTTCTTATAGCTCAGAAGGTCTTTCCATGGCACTGGCCTCTCTACGCAATCTGTACACACCCAATATAAAGGTACTAGAAATAGAGGTTGTCTTTAAGTTCCAGATTGCAGAGATCAAGTCGTCTTGAGATTTTGACAAAGGCTTTAAATTCTTATAAAAATATTTGTTTAAATAAAAACTTGGATTCTGAATTTATGGATAAATTGATTGGACTTGGAGAAAATCAGAAGGTAGAATTGAGTATAAAAGAGCAAGAAATACAATCTCCGGTGAGGAAAGTCAAAATTTATAATAACTGTGTTTATTTGGGAAGCACTGATAATATTGTACCAGATTCAGAAACAAAATGACTGAATGTACCTCTAAGTCCCAT